CTGCTGCTTTGCTGCTGCTGCTTTGCTGCTGCTGCTTTGCTGCTGCTTGGCTGCTGCTGCTGCTTGGCTGCTGCTTGGCTGCTGCTTGGCTGCTGCTTGGTAGCTGCTGCTGATGCTGCTGCTGCTTGGTGGCTCCTGCTGATGCTGCTGCTGCTTGGTAGCTGCTGCTGCTGCTACTGCGGCTGCTGCTTGGTAGCTGATGCTGCTGTTGCTTGGTAGCTGCTGCTGCTGCTGCTTGGTAGCTGCTGCTGCTGTTGCTTGGTAGCTGTTGCTGCTGCTGCTTGGTAGCAGCTGCTGCTTGGTAGCAGCTGCTCCTGCTGCTGCTGCTTGGTAGCTGGTGCTGCTGCTTGCTAGCTACTCCTGCTGCTGCTTCTGCTGCTGCTTGGTAGCTTCTGCTTGCTGCCGCTGCCGCTGCTGGTTACAGTTATTGTTGTTGTGGCTGTTGCTGCTGCTGCTGCGGCTGTTGCTGGGGTGGTTGTGTGTTGCCATGTGTTGGCTGTGTTGGGGTCGTATTGGGGGGGCGCTGTTGGCACTCTCCTTTTCCCTTGGCCATGGCATGTTGCGATTCCCGGCCTGGCTTTTGCTGCCTAAAGAGCCCCAGCATTGTTTATTTGCCTAGCTTTCGCCACCCCCCTCTGGGCCCCAAGTGCATGATAGGTTTGAATTGTAGAAGACCAAGCAGCTTCAAGATTTCTGCAAAAAGGAGAAGAGGACAGACGATGTTTCGTGCTCCTTTATCTTTGAGGCTATCATCGTCATGGAGAACCTTCCAAAATCTCGCTTAGGCGTGTCCTGGTGGGAAGAAGCAGCCAAGAGAGTAACAGATTTGTTGCTAGCGGATCCTGTTGGTACTATCAATGACTGCGCGAAGGGCAAGGGCTTGGGATGTGGGAACGCATAATTTCCATCAATTTCCTTTCCAGATAAACCGTGGCCCAGTGCGCATGTCAGCAACGAGACTGGCAAGCTTGCCGCGAAACCATGAGCTGCACTACCCTGAAGCCCCGCCAGAATTGTTGTTGTTTGACTGCAGGCATCAATTTGGTACACAACCAACGGAAAGTGAGCCGCGTTGTGGTGAAGGAGGCATTCAATGCCGGTTGGCGCGTGGGAGATGTGATCCTGGAGGTGGATGGCAAGCAGGCGCATGGCAAAGCATGGCAACGCTTCCATTTGACGACAGTTGCAATTCAAGCCACAAGGTATATACTTTAAGAGATGCTTGAAGCAGTGGCTTCAGCATGCTTTGGCTTTTGTCGTCTATCCTTGGAACATCATCAAGCCAAGTATCAAGCAAATGCGTAGCCTTTTGCCCGTTCATCACCATGTTCCTTCTGGAAGGTTCGCTCGAATAAAGCAATCCAAAAAGCCGTACAGCGGGCATTGCTCCGGAAGAAACTACCTTTGACCTTCAAGGCATGGAAACAGATGGGGCAGCGACAGATCAGCCAAAGAACAGTTTGAGTGTGTTTGGGCGTGCATTTGAATCGCTTTTAGACGTAGCACGGCATCATAGCACCGGCACTGCAAATAGAGATTTGTACAGTACAGCCTTTAGAGCGTTGACCTCTAGAAGATTTGCAAGGTGCGGCGCTGGGCTGTGCCAGACCGAAGCCGCGGCATGCTGCAGTTGACTAAGGGCGGCCGACACTTGGCCCCACAGAATTGCACTCACAAGAAAGCATGACACTTACTCGCAATGAATGAGCTCATGAACTTGTCGCTGTAAGCTTTCAGAGACGGACAAGGATTCCATATTAGCCGAGGCCGCGAGCACTTGGTGCCCATGCTTGATATTATCCGCGGAGTCTTGAAGGACGAGAGAAGCCGGAACGTGACCCAGTTTACTCATGAGCCCAGTGCAGTAATTTTGTCGCTCGCAGAGCGGCGGAATAGAGACGCCACAGGAGATGGGCACTTGAAGGCATGAATGAATTTGAGTCGACCGCACTGTGGCTTGTGCCTACGCCACGCACAGCCTGCACTCGCGCAGCCAACCACGGCTTTGCGTGCCACGAATTATGTGACATGACACCTGACCGGCTAGCCCCGTCGTGTCACACCAGCAGCAACACAATTCCGCTGTGCAGTGTGCAGTGAAACTTGCGAACCTGGATGTGCGAAGAAGGTGGCAAATCTCAGTCAACGATCCTGATCATAAGATTATCACGTGATAATAAGAATCCAGTGACACACAGCATACGCAGCAAGTGCAGACGTTGGATTGGCGACAGTTTCGAGCAACGGATGCCCGCTATAGGTCAGAGGCTGAAGTTCTATGTGTGTGTGTGTGTGAGTTCAATGAACAGGGAAGAGAGCAAATCTCACGATTGGGTTCACTAGAAGATACTAGAAACATCTACGAGATGCTCCCTGCAGGAGTTTGAAGTGGTGCTTTTCATGGAAGGCACTTTGAAGGAGCCAAAGACTCGCATTTGCCGGGAAGTGGTGCGGCAGCTGGACTCCATGGGGCTGGCATTCAAGGTGAGACTGCAAACAGCATTAAACGACTGCACAAAGAACTTATCCTGCTTGGCCCCTCAAAAGATGGTTTTATTATCTACGGCACTAAGAAGCTGGCCGTTGAATGCTTTCGAAATTTCGAATAATAATTCCACCATCATGGATGCCATAGAGGCTTCTTCAGCGCACGCACGCATTTCAACATTCTGGACGGTTTTGGGCTTCATCGGCCTTTTTGTGAAACGACCAGTTTGATATTCCCCAATAACTTGCCAACGGCCATATAAGGTCATCATGTTCAACGTTGCATTACGTATCATAGCGCTGTTTGGGTGTCATGCTGGCTCGTTTGAGCTGGGGCTATTGGAGGCCATCGATTGCACCGACCAGAAGGCAAATCCTGAAATCCGCAAGATCGCGAAGCAGATCTCTGGAGAGGAGGTGACCACGCGAGATCGGATGGTGATAAAATGTGATACTGCAAATGGATTGGACATCGGAATGGTTTGTTCATGAAAGGTACTTGTAGGGTGCTGCTTTGATACTCTGAACTGACTTTTCCACTGGACCGCTTGACAACTGAGTTTGGGCAGTGTACGTGTAATTCATGCAATGGCCTCAAACCACCGGAGTTACACAAGCAACAAGTTGAATCACTGAGAGACCGAGAGCCTGTTCTTGATCCAAATGTTGATGGCCCAGCTCCTGTTAGGGCCTTCCGCAGCTTTTCATCAACGGAACGCATGTTGCTGGGGGCCGCGCTTCTTGGACTGGTAATTACTACGACCATTCCTCGTTACTTCTTGTTGAGCTGAACACTGCTGGCTCAAAACGCAGTGCAGTGGAATTTTGCAGAGCACTGATGAATTTGCAAGCATGGTTTGTTATATTTCCATCACCCTTGCTTGCATAGAGAGAGAGAGAGTTGTAGAGACACGGGCCGTCTTTCTTTTCAGAAATTGTTGACCGATTGGCACGCGAGCCATAAAACAATCATAAAACACTAGAATCTAGAACTTACTAGGACAGCCCACACACACACATATATATATATATACAGTATAATATATATAATTATATGGATCTCCGCGTGTTTGGCTTCTCGAGGCGATCCTTGCTGCACTTCGGGAGGGTCAGCTGGAACATGCGGAGAAAGGTCGAGCGCGAAATCAATATATATATATATATTCACCGTAGGAAGTCTCAAGCCGGGCTTGTTTACTCTTGATCGCTCTTGATTCATACTTGTATCGGAATTCAGCAACGAAAATACATCAATTACACCATCAAATCTGACTGGAAATGGGGACCTGGAAACGGTATACATGGATATCACAACATCATGGTTCCAAAGCTATTGGCTTTGTGCACCCAGGCGGCTTGCAGCTGCTTCTGCTGCTGCTTTGGTGTGCAAGAGGTCTCTCATTTGCATTGTGCGCGAGCGCCATATTCCGGCCCTGGATTACAGAATGACCAACTCGAGTTTAACTCTGCGAAGTGTGCTTTTGCGCTTATGTTGAGCAAGCTGTGACTCGAAACGCTACGAAGAGTACTAGTTGTTTGTTGCTGGTGCTGCGGTTGTTGTCTTTGTTCTTGTTCTGGTGTTTTTGGTTGATATTTAATGTACTGTAATTTCACATGTTTTTTAGTTATTCTATATCATGTTAGCCTTGCTTTTGGCAATCTCCATGCAACTTGAAGAGCAAGGAAAGTCGTTCACTGATGTCAAACAGTGAAGACAACTATGGGAGAGCTGGTCACACATGTTTGTGGTTTGAAGCAGAAGTAGTTGCTTGCAGAACAAGATTTGACCTATTTTTCAATAGGCTCATATAATAATGTAGACTCTTGATTAATGACCCCCCCTTATGAAGAGGCCGTTCAATTCGTTTGTCAAAGTGGTGGAAGCCACCGACAAAGTCTCACTGCAGTGTGAGCGCGAGAGGTAGAAGAGGTTGTTCAATTCAAATGGGGGAGTTATTAAGCAAGAGTCTACATTAGCTTCAGAACTACATGTGGATCTAGCTCTATCCAACTCTAACCGAGATGAATTTTCACGAACGATTGCTTCAGCTACCTGAGTTCAATATTTTAGTAAATTTTAGTATATACTGATAATGTAGAGGTTTAGCCGTGGGGGGATTCCACAGTGGGTACAAGCCTCTCTCTGGTACGTTCAATTGTGTACTGGCATGGTCGGGCTGCACCGTATCTAGGTTGTCAACCTTTCGTACCTACTACTTCGTCATACTTCGTCCAAATCACTTTCACGCACTTGTTCTCATTATATATCCATCCGTCTATACCCATCTTCCTCCTCGCTCCTTGGCATGGTGCTTTTTGAGCTTCTTTTCTCCGCCCCATGCTCTTCTTCCTGCATGTTCCTACCTCTCGCTCTCTTGCATGAGTGTTCTGTGTCGCAATTATCTGGCTCCTCATGCTTTTGCTTGTTGCTGGTTTTGCTGCTTCGGCCTTGCTGCAGCTGGTGCTGCTGGCTTGCTGACGGTCTCGTGCTGGTTTGCTGCTTATGGGCTGGTGAGTGGGCTGGTGCTGCTGGTTTGTGGCTGCTGTGCTGCTGCTACGGCGGATTTGCTGCTGTTGGTGGCGTGGGACAGACATTGAGGCAGACAGACGGGCCTCCCGCTCGTTTCCTTCTTGACTACCTCCCCTTTGGATCCGTCACACACACACACACTAATTGTTACAAGCACATCGGCAACTCCCTCACCAAACGTCCCCCAGCGTCCTTGCTGCCTACCTTTCATCCACCCCTCCTCCCATCAAGTGTGGAATTCAACCTGTACTAACAAAGTGATCATCGCTGAAATGGACATCTCTTCTTGCTTCCACTAGTGGAGTTGCCAGGGGAGCTTGGCATAGAGCTTTGTTTTTTGCATGCTGAAAGCAGGGTGTGGAATGGCAGCGTGTTTGGACGAACAGTAATTACTTGAGGTCGCAGGCGACAAGAATGGCGCTGAAGGCGCCAGAAGTGGCCCAGAAGAAACTGGAGGCTAAAGATGAAAAGACTTTAAGCTACTGAGCTGCACTTTTACGCGGGTTGGACCTAAGAGTAGATGTTTGGACCCTGCAAGCTATTCGCACATATTTCAGACAAGACTGTTTCCACTGGCGCGGCGCTCCAACAATCCTAGCTTGTGAAGCTCACATTCGAACGAAGTGGTTCTGCGCCATACACAAATTAGCTAAGATGGACATATGCAGGACAATGTGGTCAGAATCTGGTGAAATGTCAATCCGACTTTTGTCATTCTGCATGGTTTGCTGAAACGCTGAACGCTTTACGCCAAGCCGCTGTCTTACTCCAGGTGATGCCTGGGCTTGGGACTGAGCTGGACTACTAAAAGAGAGAGAGAGAGAGAGAGAGAGAGATCCCAAACTTCGCAGCAAGAGCGGCCCGCAAGCCGCTTCTCCGGGTGTCAGGAAAAGGCCTTGGACGGACGAGAGGGTCGCAACCCAAGCCCGCAATCTTCTCTGTTGTTCATTGTGTTGGTGAGCTACAAAAGGCAGACCTGACATAATGTTGACATATGTGACCAATCGCCACAATTATATAGTGTGTACAGTAGCCACTTTAGTTTAGATAGTTGATAAATCACATCGGTATATGTTTTTGCTTGTGTTTAAGAAGTGGCACGCAGCTAAAATCAGCAATTCTGCAAGGCAGCGCTAGCAAATCCGCTAGAAACGCGCTAGTTTTTAAAAGCATTTCATATGAACAGCATCAAAATAACGGACTTGTTTTGGAGCTGTTCTTGAAAAATACGCCCTACTGACAGTGCTACTTGTATCCCAAGTTTTGAGATGTTTTGAGATTGCTGTAAGGGATTGCTGCTGTGGGTAGTCTTACCGCATGGTTTGTTAGAGCGACTGGGTGTGGTAATTGGTACTGTATAGTCTCCAGATTTGTTTCCACATATTATTTTTGGTTTTGTGCAGTGTGATTGTCGCTAGTGTAGTGGCTAGCAATCCGCTAGCAAAATGTGCACGCAGATGACCTTTGTGAGTTGCTCCCCCTTTGTGGCCCAAATTGAATGTCCTTACTTTCAGTACGTGGCTATGTTGACGCCTGTGGAGAAAGTTCCAGCAGCCACTCTAGCATGTAGTAACGGTAACTCTTTGAAGGAGTGAGATGAAAGGTCGTTAGCAATTTCGTGGGGCGCTTCTTATTTTTGGACGGGATTTTGCTTGTCCAATTGCTTTCACAAGATTCATACATAGATCTTATTTTGGTAAATGAAGCGGCACGCATGGAATTCCGATTTATATAACAACGGCTGTAGGCAAAGACTTTTTACAGACCGTCAATTACATGCACTAAGATACAGCCAAGCTGTACATTTGCTGGGATTTTGTTAAAAAGAATTACTGCCCAGCAGCGAGCACAACCCAGAAGCATGAACCCCTAACAATACAGGGAAGCGCAAGTGTGCTTGCTTTCCATGTTTTCTACTTTCCATGTTTAATAAGCAACGTGTTCGAGGCAATGTCTTTACGGAGCCAGAGATGTTCATGGAGCCGGGAATCCAGAGATAGCTGAAGACGTACGGTTATGGGATCAAACATATGTTTTCCAGCACTCAGCACGATAAAGCCCGGCAAACACATGAAGCGATGTATGTGTTCCAAAGTGGAGCTGAGCAGCTGGCTTTTTGGGGAGGGTTGACTTTGTTCAAGACTTGCCTCAAGATTGGCAGGGTCTTGGGGTCCCTCAACGAGACGCGCACTCAAGAGGCCTGCAACGACTCTTTGTCACCCCTACCGCTGGTAGTTTTTGATACAGCCACCGCGAAGGACACCAACACGTTCGCTGGAGGATGCTGCAGAAAGACAGCGACAGCACTGCCTTTTCTATATTGTTGGGCATAGTCACCCGTGCACTGCGTAGCTTTCAGACCCCTTTGCATTCTCCAACGATTGGCCCCTGGTGACTCCTAGTCTTTGTATCATTCATTCCCTCACAACGACCGGTGCCATTTCGGCAGGGTCCAATGTTCTTCGAGCGCGTTAGCGGAGTCCGTCTCTTACAAATGCAACAGGCTGCACGACATGAAGTAACAATGTTGAAACCAAGGCTGCCAACCAGGACAAGGACATCGTGCTGATAGCCCAGTATCGGGAGCTTGAGCTATCCATTATCAGTCAGCAGACTTTGACACTTGTTGCCTTTGATTCAAGGCTCTATGTTCCGGGCATTGACTTTTCAGGTGCCTTTGCAGTTCGGCCCCCGAGCCAGTTGGAGTAGAGAAAGGGTGAGTCGAGAGAAGTACGGAGAGGTGCTGTGCAGATATTGAGGTAAGACACTTGTTTGTGTTTCTTAGGTTGGAGGCCATCGCTATTAGGTTGGCGGCCCGGCCATTGCTAGTAGGTTGGAGGCCATTGCTTCTAGGTCGAAAGCCACCGCTCTTAGGTT